GTCAAAGATATTTAATGTTCCCATGGAGACCATATCAAATGTTGAGGAGATGCCCAAAAATACATAGGTTTTGGCAGGATTTTATGGCTAGAATTTTTGATCTAATGCAGGATTTTATGGCTAGAATTTTTGGTCTACTTAATCTTATAGGGGCTAATAAAGCTCTCCTCACATTGATTACTAGATTACTATTTTTTTGGAAGGATGCTGATTGTTCAAAAATAAATTTCTGTCCCCACCAACTTTATCTCTATAGATGACTTAATGATATACTTTGGTTAGAAAAATTCCTGTTATCAGTATAGAGGGACTCCAGAGCGATTGACCAAGCTTTGGCAACCATGGTTAGACATCCCAGGATAAGCTCCAACCCCACCATTATTGCTTGGGCTGACTGGAAGATGGTCACAACCAAAGCAGTTTCTCTGTAGTAGCCATAAAGGTAGCTAGCCAATTTTCCCATGTCTTGCTAGTTACCTTTTATACGTGACAAGATAGTCTCCTGGTTTTCCACTAAAAGTATGGAGTTGTATGGATCGAGGACCAGCGGGGGAGCCAAAGTTTGTGCCTCTTCCCTTTCATAACAGACATGTTGATTGGTTGGGAATAACGGTTTATTGAATATTATGACTTTATATATTGTATGATTAGCTATAAAATATGCACAATAAGAATTTGTCTGCAGAATACAAAAAGGATACTAAAGAAGAAAGATAATGACTAAAATGATGTGCCGTACTATAGGATAAATCTATTTGTGCCTCAAGAAAGTCCTAGGAGGGCTTTATGCTTTCTGTTAAACGCTACTTTATTAATAGAACTTGATGTTGCATGTTGGACCCTTCCACGGGTACCTATATTTTAGTCATGTTAAACACGTTTTTGTGTGTGCTGTAAACTGAAATGGAAAGTGGTTTTCTTCTCAATAGGCTGCATAATTAGAGCGATCCTTTCTTCTTTTGGAATTAGTATCATTGATTTACTGAGCCATCAGTGGATTTCCCCATCCACTGCCAGGTATTGTATTCAGCAGCCACAGCACCCTTGGCTACCTAAATAGGACACGGTCACTGTTTGGACGACATTTCTTACATGAATCAGCCAAAATTAGAAACGTCAATGGACAGCATATGACATTATTGAAGTCTGCCTGTCCAGCCACCATATTTATATACATTTTAGAATATGTTCTGTAGATTGACAAGATATCTCTCCAGAACCACTACTATAATCCTGAGATATGAAAATAATTCCTATATTCTCCAATCTTTTGTAAGAGGTGCCAGAGGCAAGGTTGCTATGGAAATAATAGCATGTTTTTATACATCAAATGATAACGCATTTCATATGGCACATTCATCTAATCTGCATCGCCTGCTGAGTTGTCATATGTTGGAATGGATTTGTGCTGTGATGCTCACCTCTTTTTCAGATGCACATTTAACCCCTTCATGACTGAGGCCCTTTTTTCATTTTTTTGCACCCATGTTATATTCCACATTTTAGGCCTGAAAATGACTTAAAACCCCCCAACATTATATATTTTCTGAATGCCAAGACCCTATAGAATAAAATGGTGGTAGTTGCAAATTTTTATGTTGCGCAATATTAGCGCAACTCCTTATTAAACCCCAACATTTAGTGAAAAATGTAATTTAATGCCCCAAAACACAACAAAATACCCATTTTTTAAATGACATATAAAAGATGAGGTTACAACGAGTAAAACGATACCCAACATGCCCAGGTTACAAATTGCGTGCGTCCGTGAAACGGCAAAAAACTGCAGTACCCCAAAAAGTCAATAGACGCTTTAAAAGCCCCCACAGGTCATCAATTTAGAGATACCCCAAAATACTGGCCCTAGAATTATTGCTCTCACTCCGGCGTGCGCGGTGATACCCAACATATGTAGCGCGTTCGTCGTTTTCATACCTAGGCGC